TATAATATATATATATATATATACATATTTATACATATACACATATATACATCTATACATATACATATATATGTATATATTTATAATAGACACCATAAACCCTAAACCCTAAACCCTAAGAAACAGTATGCGGGATGCATCCGTCTCGCTAGGATATACACATATATACATATACATGTATATAATAAACCCTAAACCCTAAACCCTAAACCCTAGATAAGAAATATATAAATATAGATGTATATATCTCTACGAGCTGCAAGAACGACGAGAATAAAGATTGCAAGAAAGAAAGGAATAAATAAATAAGATAAAATAAGATAAATAAATAAATACCTGAATCTTTTTCGATTAATAATTTCATCAAATAATTCTCCTCCTGTATATACTTCTGTAACAAGATAAAAGTATCCTTTATCCTCAAAGAATTCATATAATTTCATGATATTAGGATGATCTAATTTCTTTAATAATTCAACTTCTTTTAATAATAATTCTTTATCTGTCTTCTGTTTTACTTGACGTTTAGATATTACTTTTACTGCATATTCCTGTATACGTATATACATATATACATATATACATATATACATATATACATATATACATATATACATATATATATACATATACATATACATGTATATGTACATTATACGTACATATACATATATACATATATATTTTTTTGATTGTTTTATTTATTTATTTATTCAATTTATTTATTCTTATGTGCATTTGTATGTACGTATATGCATGCATACATATAAATATATCTATTTATTTATGTATACATCTGCACATGTATTTATGTATATATATGCAGAAATATATAATAAACATTAATTAATTATTATTAATTATATAATTAAATAAATAAATAAAATAAATAAATAAATAAATAAATAAATTACCTGTCCTGTTATCTTGTCCTTGCATAAGATGACCTCACCAAAACTTCCTTTACCGAGTACTCTTTGCCCCTTATACCTAAATAAATAAATAAATAAATAAATAAATAAATAAATAAATAAATAAATAAATAAATAAATAAATAAAATAAATTCTATACAAATATAATCGGCTTATTTATAATTCATTTAATATAATAATATATCTATTTATTTGCATAATAAATAAATACTACTAAAGGTATTGCACGAGCAGCAGCAGCAGCAGCAGCAGCAGCAGGAACAGTAGCAGCCTCTGCATGCTGCATCTAGCTAGCTAGCTAGTTGGTGTGATCAATTCATAAGGAAAGGAGACACAAAAAAGGAGACAATAAATAAAAAAGGAGACAGTAAATATAAAAAGGAGACAAAAAGGGGACAGCAGACAATAAAAGGAGACAAAAAAAAAAGAAAAAGGAGAAAAATAACAATAAAAAGGAGACAAATATTAATAAAAAGGAGACAAATAATAATAAAAAGGAGACAAATAATAAAAAAGGAGACAAACGACACAAAAAGGGACATTAAATAAGACAAGAGACATTGAATAAAAGGGGGAGACAATAAATAATAAAAAAAAAAAAGGAGACAAATAAATAAATAAAAAGGGGACAATAAATAAACAAATAAAGAAATAAATAAATAAATAAATAAACAAATAATAAATAAATAAATAAATAAGGAGACAATATTTACCTGTCGCTGAATGCTGCAGTAGAGTGTTGGACAAACATGCCGGGAGTTGCTGCCAAATTATCGCTCTTGGATGGCGCTGCAGCAGCAGCAGCAGCAGCAGCAGCATATACACACATATACGTCTTCCTGCTGTTGCTGTTGCTTCTAGTCATGTTGTTGATGCTGCAGCAGCACTGCTTGCTGCTGCTGCTACTGCTGCTGCTGTTGTTAATAGGTATGCAAGAAGAAAGGTACACTGGACACCCTCCACATATAAGGCTAGCAGCAGCAGCAGCAGCAGCAGTTTCTGCTGCTCCTGCTGCTGCTGCTGTTGTTACTGCTGTCAGTGCTGCTGTATAATTCACAGAGATTATGGATATTTAAGGTTTGCAACAGCAGCAGCAGCTGCTGCTGTTGCACTAGCTACAGCAGCAGCCAGCTGCTGCACACCATCAATGTCATATCGCTACAGCAGCAGCAGCAGCAGAAATGCCACCATTAGGAGAAGCAACAGCAGCAGAAAAAGGAGGAGAAAGAATAGCAGCAGCAGCAGCAGCAGCAGCAATGATGTTTACAACACCCCCCACCAACACCACCACCTAGCCACCCATCCACAAGAGCGGTATACACATAGCAGCAGCAGCAGGAGCAGGAGCAGGAGCAGCAGCAGCAATAACAGCAGCAGCAAAATAAAGAAAAAAAAGAAACCTACATGGTCTAGGGCGGCCGTCGCCCGAGGGAGTTGAGCCTTGCTGCCCCATTGTGCATGAAGAGTTGCTGCTGCAGTAGCAGCAGCAGCAGCAGCAGCTAGGATGATATATGTATATATCCCTTAGTTGCTGCTGTAGCAGCAAATAATCGAAGGCTTCAGCTTAGCAGCAGCTGAAGCAGCAGCAAACAAGAAGAGAGCAGCAAGAGCAGCTGCAGCAGTAAGAGCAGCACAACAAGCACGCGGCAAGAAGCCACGGCAGCAGCACAAACAGCAGCAGCAGCAGCAGCAGCAGCACAAGATATGCCTATGCTGCTGTTATGAATATAAGAAACAATAAATGCAATTTAAGGCAGTAAATAGAATCAACTGCTGCTGCTGCTTCCCCATGTGCTGCACACCGAACCACTTTGGTCCTGGCTGCTGTTGCTGCTGCTGCTGCTGCTGCTGCTGCAGTCGTAGAGAGTGAGTAGTAAGTAGTAGTAGTACAGTGAGTAGAAGAGTGCTGCTGCTGCTACTGCTGCTGCTCCTCTTTCTTATTAATAAATAATAAATAAAAAAGAAGAAGAAATTCCCTTGACTTCAACAGCTTAAGACGCCTTTGCTGCTGTTGCTGCTCCCAGTTGCTGCTGCTGCAGCTACTGCAGCAACAACAGCAATTGTGCTAGGAGCAGCGCATAGGCAGCAGCAGCAGCAGCAGCAGCAGCAAGGGATGCCTCAACAGCAATTATTGCTGCCTTTAATAAAAGCAGCAAATCCCCTAAAGACATAGAAAGTCCTTTTCTTCAAAAGCTTTTACATCCGCACCTTCTGCTGCTGCTGCTGCTGCTGCTGTTGCTGCTGCTGCTGCTGCTGCTGTGCTGCTGCTTGTTTGCTAAAGGGGCTTGCATAGGCTGCTCTTATAGTCAAGTCAGTCATTTCTTTTAAATTTTATTTTGCTGCTGCTCTTTAATTAAGGCTGCTCTATATTGCTGCTGCTTTTGCTGCTACTGCTGCTGCTGCTGCTGCATTGCTGCTCCTGCTTTTGCTGCTCCTGCTGCTAGTCCTGCTGCTGCTGCTCAACATTGCTGCTGCACATGAGAAGAATTGCTGCTGCTGCTATCTCCCCGAGCTAAACACGCGCGGGATCTGTGGGGTGGGACCTGGGATCGGACGATCCCACAGCGGGGATCGGACGATCCCACAACGGGGATCGTCTACTCCCTTGACCAATGAGACCCTTGGCCTCTCAATGAATAGTAGGAGGTGCAACAAAAGAAATGCCTGCGTGCATACGTGCATGCATGCATCTGCATGCATGCATCTGCATGCATCTGCATGCACCGTCGTTAGTGGTGCTGAGCTGTCTGGGCACTTCAAGGCCATTACTACCTCCTACACATCCACGCCTGCTGCTGCAGTGCAGCAGAAGCAGCAACAGCGATCCAGCAGGTCTGGTTGTGTTGTCGTAGCAACAAGACAGTTTCTGCGGCGCTTGACTGTTGTCTTAGCTAGCTGTCCGTCTAGCTAGCTAGCTATGCTTATAGTTAGCTAGATGACCATATAGCTGGCTAGATGAGTGTATAACTAGCTAGCCGACTAACTAGCTAACTGGCCGTACGGGTAGCTAGCTGATCGGATAGCTAGCTAGCTAGCTGGCCATCTGGAAGTCGAGCTAGCTAGCTCTGTAGGAAGGCAGCCTGCTAGCTAGCTAGGGGTCCAAGCGCCTGCTGCTGCTGTGTCTTGTGTGTCTGCTTGCGTGCTGGCATGCATGCATGCAAGCATGCACGCAATCTGCGTATATACCCGGTGGTGGCACTCCCACAGCATCTCCTAGCCACAGCTGGCTGTACCTAGCTGTGGCTAGCTCTAGCTAACTGTAGCTAGCTGTAGCTAGCTTTGCTAGCTCTTCCTATTTGCATGCAGGTATACGTAGCTAGCTAATGCAGCATGCATTACTATTGTCTCTCCTGCTCTCTATCTGTCTCCTTTCTTCTTTTTGTCTCATTTATTTGTCTCCTTTGTTTTTTCGTGTCTTTTTTCTTAACTTTATCTGCCTCTCTTTATGTGTCTCTTTATTTATGTGTCTCCTTCCTTTCTTTTTGTGTGCCTTTCTTTGTGTGTCTCCTTTATTAATTAATTAATTAATTAATTTATTTATTTATTTACTTTTGTCTTCTCAACAAACAAAAACGGTTCTCCTCTAACGAGGTGGCTATATACTGCAATAGCTGCGAGAGGCAGCAGCAGCAAGCAGCAGCAAAGCAGCAGGGAGGGAGAGACACTCAGCTGCTGCAGCCAGCAGCATGCTGCTGCTCCAGTTATACCTGCTGCTGCTCTGCTGCTCCGGCGGTACAGAAGCAAACGGCACAACCGCATGCATCGCTGCTGCTCCCTGCTGTCGTCAACAGCAGCAGCTGCAGCAGCAGCAGCAAAACAGCTTTGCTGCTGATACTCCCCTATGGGCCCCCGCCGCCCTTCCAGTCAACTCCCCTTGAGTTGCTAAGATCCGACAGGAAGTGTGGTGGTGGTGCTGCTGTGGGGGTTACTGGTGCTGCTGCTGCTGCGGGTGGAGGTGCAGCAGCTGCTGCTGGTGGTGTTGCTGCTGCTGGAGCAAATCCCCCTAAACGATTCGGAGCATAGCCCAGCTGTGCAGGGCCAGCTGTTGCTGCTAGTGGAGGAGGAGCAGCAGCAACAGCAGCAGCCGGCCCAACCCCTGGCAGCATCCCTATGGGTGCTGCTAGTGGTGCTGTTGCTGCTGCTGGTGGTGGTGCTAGTGTTGCTGCTGCTGCTGCAGGCCGCCGGAGGGCTGATACTGAATTTGTAACTGTAGCTGATAGTGCCCTCTGCGGTGCTGCTGCTGCTGCCGTTGCTGCTGCTGGTGTTGTGGAGGCAACACCAAAAGGGACTGCTGCCGCTGCCGTCCCTGCTGCTGCTGCTGCTCCTTGAGGAGCAGCAGCAAGTGACGGGTTTATGCCTCTGTATCCACCACGATGGAAAGCAGCAGCAGAAGCAGCAGCTGTAGCTGGTGTTAATGTAGCTGCCGCTGTGGTTCTTGCTGCAGCAGCTGCTGCTGCTGCTGATGGCGGTGTTGCTGCTACAGCAGTTACTCCTGCTACCCTGGAGGGACCGTTGATGTTCCTGCTGCTGCTGCCGCCTCTAGGCGATGCAGCAGCAGCTGCAGCTGCTGCTGCTGCAGCGGCAGCGCGGTAGCTTGCAGCAGCACTGGGGCTAGCAGACCTTTCTCTTGTCAGACCTGCACGAGTGCTTTGCTGTTGTTGTTGCTGCTGCTGCTGCTGCGATGGGGAGCGGCCTGCTGCACTGTCGATGAATTGCAGCAACGACAGCTCTGTCATATATCCTCTTATACCGGCTAGTGCGCCACCTCCTGCAACGGAGACGCAGCAGCAGCAGCAACACGAAGCTATAGCCACAGCAGCAAAAAAAGGGAGAGGAGCAGCAGGAGCACCAGTATATTATAGTGCAGTATAGCGCATGCAGCAACGACCACCTTCTCCTCCGAACACCAACCACCGCAACACGACAGCAGCACAAAAACAACCTCCAGCAGCAACAGCAGCAACAGCAGCAGCAGCAACAGTGGCATACCATCATCTCCATAATGCCTAGTAGTATAATAAAGAACAAGAGACTCTGTGGGGTAGATAAGAGACAGCTGATGAACAGCAGCAAGAGTTATATTAGGTGCTAAGGGCATGCGGTGTTCCTTTGTATAGAGACGCAGCTCCCCTATTGGCTGCTGCTGCTGCTGCTGCTGCTGTTGCTGTTGCTGTTGCTGCTGCTGCAATTGGCGATTTAAACGAGAAGTTATGTAGCGACATAACTGCAGCACTGTGCTGCTGCCGTCGCTGCTGAATTTATTTTGCTGCAGCACCGGCAGCTGCGGCAGCAGCGGATCCGGTATTAGCTCGAAGCGAAGACGAACTGCTGCTGCTGGATCTCCTGCTGCTGCTGCTGCTGCTATTGCTGCACTTTGCTGCTTCCGCAGCACCACAGACAACTCCCGTCGCATTCGCTTCTTTTCTAAAGGAGGCAGCACAGATTGCATAGCCATGGTGAGGTATTTGCTGCTGCCTGCTGCTGCTGCTGCTTCCGCAGCAGCTGCAGCTGCAGCAGCAGCTGCTGCTGCCGCTGCTTCCGCAGCTGGACTAGGCACTTTTCCCTGCTGCTGTTGCCGTGTCACTGGTTGTCCCCAAGCATCAATAAATGGAGGAGGTGTTGGGGGCTGCAGCAGCAGTCTTGTGTATGCATCGCTGCTGAGGCTGCTGCTGCTGTTAACGTCACTACTACTACTACTACTACTGCTGTATCCTATAGCTTTCTTGATGGGCTGCAGCTGCTGCAGTTGAATAGCGGCTTCTGTTGAGCTGCGTTTATATACTCCTGCAGGTTCTGCTGCTGTTGCTGCAGCAGCAGAGGCATCATCAGACCCACCTGCCGAACCACCAGCAGCTGCAGCTGCAGCAGCAGCAGCAGCAGTAGCCGCTGCATGCTCTGCTGCAGCAGCACCTTGATTAGAATGTAATCTTAAGTTATTTCTTGCTAGCAGCAAATGGTGCTGCTCCTCAAAGGCAAACAAAGAAGGAAAAAGTTTATCAATTAATTTATCTAAGACGATGTTAGGCCGTAAGCTACGACGGGAGGCAACATGAGACCGACACTGCAGCAGCAACAACAGCAACAGGAGCAACAACAGAAGCAAAGGATAATGAACCAGCAGCAGCAGCAGAAAGACATGCAGCAGCAGCAGCAGTAGCAACAGACGCCTTATAAAAATCCTTAGAATAAATGCACCATGACAATACATCAAGATGATCCCCATGACCACCATCAACAACAACAACAACAACAACAACAACAACAACAACAACAACAACAACAGCAGCAGCAGCAACAACAGCAGCAGCAACAACAACAAAAGCAACAATAAGAGTAATAATAATATGAAATAAATTAATTACCTGTGGACATTCTCTGATACCAATTCGTACACATTTTTCAATACATTCTGCACAGAATCTATGTAGACAATTCTTAACAACAAGTGTCTGCTTAAGAAGGGATAAACAAATTGGACAATTTAAATCTTCTCTTAAATTCATTCTATTTACACTTCGACGCTGAAGGAGTAAATCGGATGAAATTCTACGTGGTCCAGAGGATGCTGCATGCAATAAATGTAATATATGTTGCTGCTGCTGCTGCTGTTGCTGCTGCTGTTGATGCTGATGCTGATGCTGTTGTTGGTGGTGATGCTGCTGCTGTTGGAGGGGGGACGGCGGGGGAGGATTTGTATTTTGTTGAGGTGTTGTTGTTTCGCCTGATAATGTTGATGATGCTCCTGATCCTGATCCTGATGCTGCTGCTGCCGCTGCTGCTGCTGCTGCTGCTGCTGCTGCTGTTGATGGACATATACGATGCAGCAACAAACGGTAATATATCCAGTCACGGCCCCATAGGGTACCCTTCTCTCTATCATATGCTAACCATTGACGGGTACGATCACTCATTACTATATTCTTGCTGCTGCTGCTGCTGCTGCTGCTTCTGTTGCTTATGCTTGTTGCTGTTTGTGCTGCTGTTGTTGTTGTGGTGGCAGTGTTATGGGGGGTGGCTATGGCGCTACTGCGGGTGTGTCTGATGTTGCTACTGCTGCTGTTGCTGCTGCTGCTTATGCTGCTGCTGCTGCTGCTGCTGCTGCTGCTCCGGGTTATACGGCTGCTGGGAGCAACCGATACACCTCCACTGATAGATCGAGAGGCAGCAGCAGCAGCACCAGGTGCTGCTGCTGCTGTTGCTGCAGTTGGTACTGCTGTTGCTGCTGTTCCTGCTCTTGCTGCTGTTGCTGCTGTTGCTGCTGTGGCTGCTGTTGCAGCGGCTGCACCTGATTGAGACTTAGGAAACGACACACCCTGGTCTGTTCTCCCGCTGTTGCTGCTGCTGCTGCTGCTGCTGCTGCTGCTGCTGCTTCCTTTGAGGTTGCTGCTGCCGCTGCTCTGAGTTGCTGTCGAGGGAGCTGCACCAGAAACAGCAGCAGCAGGAAAAGTTGCTGCCCTTCCTGCTGCTCCTACGGCTGCTGGTACTGCACCTCCTGCTGCACCTGCTGCTGGATGTCGCTGGGCCTTTAGGGCATCCGTTGATACAGCAGCAGTTGCAGCCTGCTGCTGCTGTGGCACTGGTTGTTGCTGCCGTTGCACTGGCTGCTGCTGCTGTTGGGCTGGCTGTTGCTGCCTTTGATGCTGCACTGGCTGCTGCTGTTGTCGTTGTTGCAGTGGCTGCTGCTGCTGTCGTTGTTGCAGTGGCTGCTGCTGCTGTCGCTGTTGCACTGGCTGCTGCTGCTGCTGCACTCGCTGCTGCTGCCGTTGCATTGGCTGCTGCTGCTGTTGCATTGGCTGCTGCTGCTGTTGCATTGGCTGCTGCTGCTGTTGCATTGGCTGCTGCTGCTGTTGTACTGGCTGCTGCTGTCGCTGCATTGGCTGCTGCTGCTGTTGCAATGGCTGCTGTTGCTGTTGCATTGGCTGCTGCTGTCGTTGCATTGGCTGTTGTTGCTGTTGCATTGGCTGCTGCTGCTGCTGCACTGGCTGCTGTTGTTGCTGTGTTGGCTGCTGCTGATACATTGGCGGGTTCTGTTGCATAGTTTGCTGCTGCTGCAGTGGCTGTTGCTGCTGCACCGGCAGTGGTTGCTGTTGCTGTCTCGGCTGTTGCTGTAGCGCCGGTTGTTTCTGTTGTGTTGGTGGCTGCTGTTGCAGCACTGGCTGTTGCTGCTGCAGCATTGGCTGCTGCTGCTGCAGCATTGGCTGCTGCTGTGTTGGCTGCTGCGGTTGTGTTGGCTGTTGCTGCTGTGTTGGCTGCTGCTGCTGTGTTGGCTGGTGCTGCTGCTGTAGCTTCAGCAGTGGGTGCTCGGGGATAGTTGCTGCGGTGTAGAGAGGCAGACCAGCTGTGCTGGAGACACCGGGCCTCTGCTGCTGTTGCTGCTGCTGCATGAAGGGTGGGCACTGCAGCAGCAAAGATGGAGGCTCCATCATAGCCCTGCCTTCCCCGCCACTGCTGCTGCTGCTGCTGCTGCTCTCTATTAGCTGCAGCGCCCGCCTACTTAGCTGAGACTGCAGCAATTGAATGCATTGTTGGCCTCGTGTTGATGCAGCAGCTGTTGGAGCAGGAGCAGGTGTTCCTGCAGCTGCTGCTCCTGTTGCTGCAGAGGGGGGTCCTGTTGCCGCGGCTGCTGCTGCTGGTGCCGCTTGTGCCGATGCAGCTGCTGTCGGAGCTGCTGCTGTCGGAGCTGCTGCTGTTGGAGCTGCTGGTGGTGGCGGTGCTGCTGCTGGTGCTGCTGCAGCAGCAGGAGGACCCGCTGGGGGTCCCTGGGGAGCTGTCATTGGCGGCAGCAGTTAGGTCTTTATTAGAGCAGCAGCAGCATGCTGCTGTTGTTGTTGCTGCTGTTGCTAGAGCGACAACGGCACAGTCAGCAAGCTCCGTTGGAGCTGTGAGGACTGCAGCAGCGCAGGTTTGCTGCTGCTGCTGCTGCTATGCTAATGTTCCGAAAGAGACACGGAAAAGGGGGCCCTAGGCCCTAGCAGCAACGGCAGCAGCAGCAGCAGGAGGAATAGCTGCTGCAGCAAGAGGGCGGTAAGTCAATCAATGCAGCAAAGGCATATTTAAAAAAAAAAGGGAGGTGGCTGCATGCGTCTTGTCTCCTCTTGCTGCTACTGCTGCTGATTGGATGCATGCAGCAGCAGCGGCTGCAGCCCTGCCGAGCAGCAACAGCAGTATAGGCAGCAGCATCAGCAACAGCAGCAGCAGGACAGTTATTAGAAATTATTATAATCCAAATTATTTATTTATTTTTATAGTTATTCCCTTGTATATAAACCCTAGTTTGTAGCCATGTACTAGTGCTGCTGCTGCTGCAACGCGAGCAGCACCATGAGTAGCAGCGGCAGCAGCAGCTGCTGCGGATAAATTCCTTAATCGCACATGTGGGGCCCTTAAATAGAAAAGATGGAGATGAAAGAGAAATAGGGAAACAGCACACTGCAGCATATATGACCGCAGCCGACTGGGCTGCTTCTGCCGCTGCTGCTGCTGCTGCTGCTGCTGCAGCAGCAGCAGTCGGCAGAGGTCGTTGTCTGCGATAATGATTTGCTGCATGCGGTGCTGCAGCAGCTAGCGTCCCTTTTGTGCATTCTTGCTGCAGCACAGTTGCAGCCAAACTGTTAGCAGCAGCAGCAGCAGCAGCAGCCGATGTTTGCTGCAGCAGGCCGCTCGCTACGGGATGAGTAACGACTTGCTGCTCCTCTAATAGACACTGCAGCAGCAGCAGCTGCTGGTGGTCTTCCCCCCGTCCTCGTATGCAACCTTCTGCCCCCCATTGCAGTTGCAGCGAGCTGCCTATTTGCTAGCTAGCCAGATAGCTAGCTAGTTAGATAGCAAGTTTGCTATATAGATACATATTCAGGTAGCTAGCTAGGCAGGTAGCCAGCTAGCCATGCGAAGGAACAGGTAGCTGCCGCTGCTGCAGCTACCTGTTCCTTAAGCACCGGCATGCTGCTGCAACGACTCTCCAGCAGCAGCACCAACAGCAGCAGCAGCAGCAGCAGCAGCAGCAGAGTGTCTGTTCTTTAGGTTTATAAGGGTTTAGCGATTTAGATGTGGTGATGCAACAGCAGTTATTCGTCAGTCTTCTGCTGCTGCTGCTGCTTGCTGCTGGGTGCAGCAGCACTTCTTGTTGCTGCATGCCGCTCTACTCGACCTGCTGCTGCTGCTGCTTCAACTGCTGCTGCTCCTGTCTCACTTGCTGCTATTGCTGCTGCTGCAGGTTATTCTGCTGCTGCTGCTGTTGCTGCTGCTGCAGAAAGGCAGATCTATCATATTTCTAGTTTATGTTTCTTTTTACTTATTGTATATTATATATAATGAATAATTTATTAACACATAAATAATTTATTTACCTATTTATTATTTATTTATTTTGTGTGTCCCTTGTTACGTTCTTTTGTGTCTCTCCTGTTCCTTTCTTTACCTGTTCCTGTTGTTGCTGCTGCTGTTGTTGCTGCTGGTGCTGCTGGTGCTGTAGCACTATTGCTGCTGCTAAGAGTAAGAGCATCTTCTTACCCTTATGAGTTGCCTTTTGGTGGCTAGCTGCATGCCATCATTGGCAGAAGCAAAAGCTGCTAGTGCTGCTGCTGTTGCTGCCTCTATAGTTGCCCTTGCTGCTGCTGGTTTGGCCGTGGATAGCTGAGGCTATCTCCGCAGCTAGCTGTGCTGTGTGGCTGTCTCCGCTGCTAGCTGTCCGTAGTTGACATATTAGGGCTCCATGCAGCAGCAGCGGCTGCTGTTACTGCAGCTGTATGCAGCAGCTGCATGCAGCAGCTGCATGCAGCAGCTGCATGCAGCAGCTGCATGCAGCGGCTCTGTAGCCTCATATGTGTGCGCTGCTGCTGCTGTTTGTCTTTAGGTACAAATATAGTTATAAATAGGTATTTATGTACGCAAATATACTTATAAATGTAAGAATAAATATAAGTATAATTATATTTATAAATATAATTAGTATTATTATTACTTTTACTCTATATTATTTATATGCATGCATTGTACACACACACACACACACACACACACACACACACACACACACACACACACACACACACACACACACACACACAAGCGGCGCTGCCCCTGCTGCTCAAATATAATGACAAAACCTTCTGTTGCTGCTGCTGCTGCTGCATGCAGCAGCAGCAACTTTTGGGCTTGGTTAGACAGCAGCAAAGGAATTGGTGAGTGGGATGCGAAACAGGGAACAGCTGGAAGTGTCAAGCTGCTGTTCCTGCTCTCCTGCTGCTGCTGCTGCTGCTGTTATTGTTATTGTTGCTGCTGCTTCTAGAAGACAAAGCAGCAAAGTTATATTTAATTAAACTTTTGTTGCATCATAAAGGAAAATTGAATTATATGAATAATTTATAGAGATTTTCCTGCTGCTGCTGTGTCGGCAGCGCCTCGAGTTGCTGCTGCATGCGCCGTGGGCGTCTGTCTGCTTTTCTGCGGATGCTGCAGCAGCAGCAGCAGCACATGAATTGTTTAAAATCTTCTTCAGGCGCTTTTTTTGTTTAATTTCCGTTTTTTTATTTATGGCTTCTTCCTTATAAGAGGCCGTTCTGCGGGATCGTGTCGCCAATCTGCTGCTGCTGCTGCTGCTGCTGCTGCTACTGCAGTTGTTGCTGCAGTCGTAGCTGCATTTGTCACCACATTCTTGTTGCAGTTGTTGCAGCAGCAGCTGCTGCTGAAGGGGTTGTTGCTGCGGTATCAGCAGGCAGCCTTCTGCTTCCTTAGGGGCTTTACACTGACAAAATCTCGTTAGCGCATGCAGTGTCTTTGCTGCTGCTGCTACTGCTGAGGTTAGCAGCACATCCTTCCTGTTCTTCCTACATTTGCTGTGTTATGCACAGCACCAGAAGGAACAGCAGCAGCAGCAAAAGCGCCAGCAGCGAGAGCAGCAACAGCAAGAGCTGCAGCAGAAAGAGCAGCTGTAGCAGCGAGAGCAGCTGCAGCAGCAAGCGCAGCTGCAACAGGGGCAGCAGCAGGTATCATTTATTCTTGTCCATCACTATTGCAGGTTCTGAAACCTCACTTAGAAACAACAACAACAGCAGCAGCAGCAGCAACAGCAGCAGCAGCAACAGCAGCAGCAGCAACAGCGTCTATCTTCTTAGTTGTTGCTGCTGCTAAAGAAGCAATGCTGCCGCGGCTTCCTGCTGATCCTGCTGTTGCTTGTTTCTCTGTAGATGGAGAGACAGCAACAGCAGGAACAGCAGCAGCGAATGCAGCAGCACCAGCAGCACCTACACCAACAGGTGCAACATCAGCAACAGTAGCAGCAACAGCAGCAGCAGCAGAAGCAGCAGCAGATGAATCTAAGGAAGGATCATCAGAAGGAGGCCATGTCCATCCTTCTGCCCTTGTACAACTATCGCGTACTATTCTTTCTCTTAAGTAAGTCTGCTGCTGCTGTTGCTGTTGCTGTTGCTGTTGCTGTGGCAGTATGTTTCTCCCTATTATTGTTCAACAGTACACATTCCTTATATCCCTTCCTCTGACTGCTGTTGCTTCCTTCCCTCCCTCCCTTTCCATTCCCCTCCTCCTCCCCCTCCTAGTCCTTCGACTATTCCTGCTGCTGTTGCTGCTGCTGTTGCTGCTGCTATAATAATTCAGGTGTCTACACAGCTACGACCCATCTGTCTTACGAATAATATGCCAAGTGTCTTTTGTTGTTCTTTACCGACTGGATATACAAAATAAGACATGGAATAATATGAATGTAGTTGGTGGTCTACATCTAACAGAGAGGAGAGTACCTCCTGCTGCTGCTGCTGCAGCAGCAGCAGCAGCAGCTAGTGGTGCCGGTGGTGGTGCTGCTGTACCGTCATGGGGATGCCTACTGCTGCCGTCACATAAGAAACCATTAACGCAAGAATTATATTTAAGATTTGGAGGGGAAGGGAGAGGAAGAGGACACCCAGATAATCCTTTATTTTATGCCCCTGGCGCTGCAGCAGGTGCAGCAGCAGCAGCAGCAGCAGCAAGAGCAGCAGCAGAAGCAGAAACAGAAGATGAATTTGGATGGTCAACAGGAGTAGGTATAGGACAATCATCAGGAGTATCAACAGGAGGAGGAAGAAGGACATCAACAGGAGCAGGAGGAGCAACAACAACAGCAACAACAACAGCAACAGCAATAACAACAACAGCAGCAGCAGCAGCAACAGCAGCAAAATATCGTATGTTTATTATTAATCAGTGCAGAGAGGAAATTTTCTTCCAAGACATTTTTCCTTCTCCCCATTTTATTGTTGAGGCGGGGCCGAGTCACGTATTCTATAAAATACCTGAAGATAATGAGGTAAATTGCTGCTGCTGCTGTTGCTATTGCTGTTGCTGGTGGTGTTGCGGGGGTAGGGCGGG